ATTTATTTTCAATTATTACAGTATTGCATAACAGTAAATCTTCTATTTTTTGGTGTGAAAAAAAATTCATTATGTGAATAAAAAATCAAAATGTAATTTATTTTTAAAGCCTCAAAACATACCTAATGAACAGAGGAAATGTTAGTTTAGTGCCAGTAATGCTACATTGTTTTTTTCTGGACCCTATTTTGAAATTGGAATATTTTGAACTTTGTGTTAAATTGGCCAAATTAACAATTTCCGATCACTTTATTTTGTAGTTGAAACAGTTGACTTGGCGATTTCTTGTGCTCAATCGATAGAATAGAATTTAATACTAGTGAAATAGCTAAGAATTTGGTTGATTGGAATAATGTAATTGGCCTAAAATGGGAGTCAAAGTCGGCAAAATCGCGATTCGTAAATATCGCTGACACACAAATTCGCGAGAGCAAAATTTTTCATCAATTTTTCACCAAAATTTCGTACTTTTTGTTTTATTACCTTCAAAAAAAGGGATTCTCTCGATTTCATAAAAAAAAAATAATTTTTTTTTTGAAAATTCTTGGACATGGTGCGTGACTCCAGATTTGGGCCTTGGCCCCTGAAAGGGTTAATGAGGAAACGTTTCGCCATACAGTGACTTTCAGTCCTCGACTCAGCCTTGAGTGAGGGGACTGATTCCCTCAATCTCTTATTCTTCACCATTCTCCTTTGTATAGACTGATGAAGCCACTGTGTGGAGAAACGTTTCCTCATTAAAGATACCCAAGGTTGCACATGTGTCTAATTTATCAACTTGTTGGTTCTCTGAACCATCTACACTGAAAAACTGTATTTTTTATGTGTCTCAAGGCTTTACTGAATTAGAGTACAAATATGTAACACAAAGTTCCCCATATCACAATGGTGTGAAAGCAAAATTTAAACAGCCAAAGTGTGACAGAAGAGCACCAAAATATTTATTTTTTTAAACTCCATAACCCGTACCCAGTACTGTATACAAGTGCCTACCTGCTCTCTCCTATCAATCCAAAATTTTCTGGATGCTGGCAATACTCCGAAATTAGTTTGACAAGAGCAGGCTTGATCAATAGTGCTAACAATGCCAGATCAGTCAGGATGCAATGACTATGTAGGCCCGTAGGCCACTAGCAGCATAGCTGTTTTAGCAGGCAATTGGGGAAAAAAAAAAGTCTGGCCTCCGACTATACCTGGGAGAGTTCAGGGGGTCAAGTCCGCGGCTGGTCTGTGACCAGGCCTCATGGGGTAGGGCTGATCAACGGTTGTTACTGCTGCGCATGTAATCCAATGTACGAAACCCCAGCCCGGTGTCAGGTACTGACTTAAAGGACCTGTCCCGTGCCTGTGAAGTAGCCAGGGGTCTATTGGTAATCCCTGAAGTAGCTAGGAAAGGGAATTGAACAGTCTTGAGCCCTGACAATTATTTTGTTCTTTATCATGCTAGTGGCACCCCTACTTTTCATTGGGGGGATGTTGCACCGTCTACCTAGTCTTTTGCTTTCATAAGGAGTGATTTTCGTGTGCAAGCTTGGTACTAGTCCCTCAAGAATTTTCCAGGTGTATATAATCATGTATCTCTCCCTCCTGCATTCTAGGAGTACAGGTTTAGGAACTTCAAGCATTCCCAGTAATTGAGGTGGTTTATCACAGTTATGTGTGCCGTGAAGGTTCTCTGTACATTTCTAGGTCGGCAATTTCACCTGCCTTGAAAGGTGCTGTTAGTGTGCAGCAATATTCCAGCCTAGATAGAACAAGTGACCTGAAGAGTGTCATCCTGGGTTGACATCCCTAGTTTTGAAGATTCTCATTATCCATCCTGTCATCTTTCTAGCAGATGTGATTAATACAAGGTTATGGTCCTTGACGGCAAGATCCTCTGACATGATCACCCCCAGATCTTTGACATTAGCTTTTCGCACTACTGTGTGGTTGGAATTTGTTTTATACTTCAATGAAGTTTCAATTTCCTCACGTTTCCATATCGGAGTAATTTAAATTTCTCAACGCTGAACTTCATATTGTTTTCTGCAGCCTATTTAAAGATTTGATTGATGTCTGCTGGAGTCTTGCAGTGTCTTTAATGGAGGACACTGTCATGCAAATTTGGATGTCATATGCAAAGGAAGACAGGGTTTGCTGTGGCTTATATCCCTGTCTATGTCCAATATGAGGATGAGGAACAAGATGGGGGCGAGTAATGTGCCTTGTGGAACAGAGTTTTTCACCATAGCCACCTCAGACTTTACTCTGTTGACTACTACTCTTCATGTTCTATTTGTTAGGAAATTATAGATCCATCTACCGACTTTCCTGGTATTCCTCTATCACGCATTTTGTGCGCTATTACACCATGGTCACACTTGTCAAAGGCTTTTGCAAAGTCTGTGTATATTACATCTGCATTCTGTTTGTCTTCTAGAGCATCCAGGACCTTGTCATAGTGGTCAGTAGTTGGGACAGACAGGAGAAACCTGCTCTAAACCCATGCTACCCTGGGTTGTGTAATTGATGGTGATCTTGCTTCTTAGAACCCTTTCAAAGATTTTTATGATATGGGGCGTTAGCACTATCGGTCTGTAGTACGTACTTTGTTATTGGTTTACTGCCCCCTTTGTGGAGTGGGGCTATGTCTGTTGTTTTTAATAACTGTGGGATGACCCCAGTGTCCATGCTTCCTCACCACAGGATATTAAAAGCACATGATAGGGGCTTCTTGCAGTTCTTGATGAACACAGAGTTCCACGAGTCAGAGCCCGGAGCAGAGTGCATGGGCATGTCATTTGGCATCAGGATAATATCAGATAGGTGTGTGTCTACCAAATTCTCTCTTCATAAAAAATTCAATTACGTCTTCGACTCTCAGTCTGGTTAGTGGCCGTTGTTACAAAAAACGTGATATCTAAAAAGCACAGAGATCTCCAGTGAATACTAGAAAGGACTGCCCCTCTAGCATTCAGCCTGTTACTGGGTTTTTGTAACAAGTAGTCAGTATCCTGGTCCAATTATCGATTAGAATTTAATAGCAAGATTCAATAGTGCTGTCAGGATTACAACTGATAGGTAACTACCTAAAGAAATAAAATTTAAGAAGTTTATTAATAAAGATAAAGTTGTCTAGGTGGACAATATCGAAGTAAATTAATTTAATATAATATAGGATGCAAGTTCCTACACTTCTCTCGTATACATTATTATTGTGCTGAAGGCACATTATCATATCTTTATGCTCTTAAGTACTGTCTGGTACAATGTCAGCATTTAACCCTTTCAGGGTCGAGAGGCCCTCTCTAAGCTTGTTCCCAGGGTCGAAAATTTTTCGGAAAAAAAAAAAAAATCTTGTGAAATGATAGAGAATCTTTTTCCGATCATAATGACACCAAAAGTATGAAAATTTGATGGAAAACTTACGGAATTATGCTCTCGCGAAGTTAGCGGTCTTGATTCCGCCACTTTGAGCCCTATTTTTTTTTGGCCAATTCCTGTGTACTAGTCAACAAAAATCATATTTATTTCACTAGAACTCCATTTTTTCTATCGAATGAGTACAAGAAACCACCCATTTACCAATTTGAACTACCCAATAAAGTGGTTAGAAATTGGCAATTTTGCCATTTTCACACAAATTTCAGAAGATGCCAATTTCCAAATAGGGTCCAGAATAAACAAGAAAGACATTCCTGGCACTAAAATAACAAGTTCTCTGTTCGTTAGACACATCCCCAGGCCCCTCTAATATTTCTTTTGCTTTCCACTTTGAATTTTTATTCTTACAAAAAATAGAAGATTTACTGTTATGCAGACTACTGCATTAGTGTAGAAATGTATAAATAATATCAGCGCACTTGTGAAAGAATATTAGACTCACCAGTTGACGTATATTGGATGCTTGGCATGATTTGTTTACTTTTGAACTTCGGTAAAAATCGAACATTTCTGCTATTTTGAGCTCAATTTCAAGGTACTTTTCATTGTGAAACCAGTCAGAATCATGTCAATTTCTGTAATATGTCTTCCATTCTATAAAATGAGACCTGGAAAACTAGAATACAACCATAAATACCATACGAAAATACAGTGCAAAGTCGCTGTTTTAATCCAAAAACAAGGTCAAAGTTTTTTTTTTCTCATTACGCACTGTGTGCTGCAGGATTTTTTTATACTGCGCACACTGACAACATAGAACCCATTCTTACATCTGTAGGCCTACTAGCTTTCTCTCACTAGATTTGAAGGCACTAGAATTTAGGCATACTAGTACGTCAATAACCCTGGTGCGGTAAGCCATTACTAGTACGTCGAAAACCCCTGAAAGGGTTAAGAACATAATACTAATATATACAAGTGAGTACGTATGTATGTATGTGCTCTAAGTAGTTCGCTACGTCTCAAGACTTGACTCGACTGAACCTGCGACTGACTAAATGTCCTCACATAAACTATCTTCCTGACCAACCTTGTGATCAGAACAGCTTGCTTGAACAGTGAGACGACCGATTCGCCGAACAACAATTTACAATGCAGCAGCACTCAGAGTCAGGAACAAGGAGAGCAAATAACAACCCTAAGTGGGGACCATCTGCAGATCCTCCACAAAAGTCACAAAACTCCCTTAATACTGAATCTAAGTTCAGCATAACAAAATCCCTGACTGTGACTGTGCACAGATACCAGAACAAATTAGGTCAGAAGCTACAGCTCAGAACCTGAGATAAACTTTAGAGTGCCAGTGAGACACACAACCCTAGTAAAACGTCAAAAATCACTAAGTCTAGGCTATGTTCTGTGAACAGAGTTACACAGAGTTATGAGAAGCATGCTTTGGTCTCACCACAGAAAACATACTCTACCAGAACAGTCTAAAACCACGAACTAACAACAAGAGAGTGACAGAGATGTTTCAACAAAGGGCCAGCAAGGGAGAGCTGGAGAGGTAGGTGTTGTTGGAACTAGCACCAGCTACAGAGAGAGCGAGAGGAAGGCAAGGCAGTCTCCCTCACCCCCGTGTGATCATGCCACCCTGGTCACGCGACTCCCCCATGGATTACTCCTGCCCAGCAACTACAGAGAAGCCGGCAATTAAACAGCGAGGAGGCAGTTATCCAAGGTAGTTTGCCAATGTGGGCAGCTACTCAACACACTCGAGCACTGAGCACAGAATAAGGTTGTAAATGTTACATCCTACCTAATAATATAGCTAGTCAAATAATAATATAAAGCAATATATTTATGGTTTAGCTAATATCACAAATATCAGCAATATGAAATTATATGAACAGGTAATATACATTAAAATTGAGATATATACATGTACACACATTGTGACCCAGTCAGGGTCGCAATACTCACTAAAAACCGAGTCATATTGGGACTTGAGTAGCTCACTCATTTCCTTGCTGTCATCTGTGTAGGGCCCATCCCGTTTAAGCAGGGGCCCAATACTGGATGTTGTTCTAGACTTCGATTTGGCATAAGAAAAGAAATATTTTGGGCTTCTTTCAATTTCATTTATAGCTTTTAGTTCTTTTTGCGTTTGACTCCTGTAAGATTCCTTTAGCTTTAGTTCGATGTTTGCTATTTCTTTGACCAGTACTCCCTACGTATTGCAGATATATTGGCCTCTTGTAGCCGCTCTGTTATTCTTTGCCTTCGCCGGTACACGGAGAGCCTTTCTCTTTCTAGTTTACATCTCCTTTTCCTTAAGGGAATATGCCTTGAGCATACCTCAAGTGCCACAGAGTTAATTTGTTCTAGACATAGGGTAGGATCCATGTTGCTTAGTCTATCTTCCCAGTTTATATCATTTAGGACTTGGTTTACTTGGTCCCACCTTATGTTTTTGTTATTAAAGTTGAATTGGTGAAGGCTCCCTCGTGACTGATCATATTTTGTCAGTCTGGGGCTCCCCGCATACATGTCTGGACTTCTGTTATGTTGGGATCTGAGTATATTGTTTTTGATATGATAACATTTCATATCAGATCATCATTGTTAGTGAAGATGAGGTCCAGCGTATTCTCCAATCTTGTAGGCTCTGCTGGTTTAAGGTGAATTTGATGCTGAGATTTAAAAGCTCGTGTGTGTGCGAGTTTTCATCTGAGCTGCCTCCTGGTGTTCTCTCTGCTACAACATATTTACTATATTCCTCCATTTAGGTGCCTCAGGTTGAAATCCCCCAGGAGCAAGATGTTGGGAGCAGGAGATGAAAGATTTTCCAGACAGTGGTCAATTTTCAAAAGCTGTTCCTGGAATTGTTGGGAAATTGCATTTGGAGACTTGTATACAACCACAATGACCAGGTTTTGGTTCTCGATCTTTACTGCTAAAACTTCAACTACATCATCATTTGAGGCATTTAGTAATTCTGAGCATATAAATGACTCTGTGATATAGAGGCCAACCCCACCCTTTTGCTGTTCACTCTGTCACATCTGTATAGGTTGTAACCCGGGATCCATATTTCGTTGCTGCTAGATTTAAAATAAATTCTCAAAACTAGTCAAATGTAAAGCTATATGGGAAGGTTCACCTGTGTGAGAATCTAGTATGGAACATAACACTGTCAAATACAGTACAGCAAACTTGGACCACAACCTACCTGAAGTTCGTGTCAAAAGCACAAGCACCGCCACCATGGTTAGAAGTAACAACATTAGAAGCACAAGCCCCAACACCATGGTAGGGGTGACGCAGCAGAAGTGAAAGGGGTGGTGTTGACAGAACATGAACTGTTCATGCATCACAGGGCAAAAAAAAAGAGTCTACTGCAATTATATTACCGGAAAAAGCTTGGTAATCAAGGGCTTCGTTGGCAGGTCACTGAATGCAAAGCTTCTTGGAATGCAGCAAGTTTTGGTGAAGACAAAAAAAAATCTATCGAGTAAATGGTGTTGGCCCAGCTGGCCCCATTAATTTCCTGCAAGAGTTATTACAAGAGTGTTGAAACCTGAGTGCAAGATCGTGACAGGCTGCTCACTACTTGGTTCACAACCACAAAGAATCCAGGTTTGATTCCAGTGTAAAAAAAGAATGGGCAGGTTTCCATATACAGTAGACCCTTGACCACGATATTAATCCGTTCCTGAGAGCTCATCGTTAGTCAAAATTATTGTTAGTCGAGTTAATTTTCCCCATAAGAAATAATGGAAATCAAATTAATCCATTCCTGACACCCCAAAGTACTGAAAAAAAAAAAATTTCACCATATGAAATATTAATTTTAATACACACAAACTGAAGAAGACATTTTCAATTACATGACACTTACCTTTATTAAAAAATCTGGTGATGATTAATGGGATGGGAGGAGGGGAGAGTGTGGACTGTGTTAGTGTTTAGAAGGGGAATCCCCTTCCATTAGGACTTGGGGTGTCAAGTCCTTTTCCGGAGTTACTTCCCTTTTTCTTTTAATGCCACTAGGACCAGCTTGAGAGTCACCGGACCTCTGTCGCACAACATATCTGTCCATAGAGCTCTGTACCTCCCGTTCCTTTAAGATTTGTCTAAAATGGACCATAAAATTGTCATTGTAATAGTCACCAGCATGGCTTGCAATAGCTGTGTTAGGGTGATTTTTCATCCATAAAAGGGTTTTCAGTTCAACCCACTTTGCACACATTTCCTTAATCTTGAGGTAGGCACAATGGATTCCACAATTGGCATAGGCGTCTCAGGGTTAGCCCCAAACCCTTCAAAATCTTTCTTTATTTCCATGCTAATTCTCACCCTTTTTATCAGGGTTGGCACTAGAAGCTTTCTTGGAGCCCATGGTGACTTATTTTGCAGGTGCAATCACTAAAAACGCTGTGATAATATGAAATGTTCCGATTGTATGACGCGGTGGCTGGCTTGTAAACACTGGCACCCATGGGACAAGTGAGGCGCGCTCAGGCCACACGTGGACGCATCTCGAACAGAATGAATCGCGCTGGTCGAGTTTTTTAGCGCTAGTCGAGGCAAAATTTTTGCGTTAAAATGTATCGCTAGTTAGATTTACGTTATACGATGCCATCGTTGGTCGAGGGTCCACTGTACATGCACTCCTTATTTGCCTAGCAGTATATAGGAACCTGGTGCTAGTAAGTAAGACACATGTGCAACAGTTAGGTAACTTTTATTCCGAAACGTTACACCTACATAGTAGGCTTCTTCAGTCAAATACAGAGGAGGCAGCAGAAGCAGTGATATGTAAATTTACAGCTCTACTGCTTCTGCTGCTGCCTCTGCACTTGACTGAAGAAGCTACTGTGTAGGGGCCCATATGCAAACTGCTTTGGAATAAAGTTACTTAACTGATGCACAGTGTTTTACTTATCAACTTGTTGGTATTGTATACCATTATCATATTCACATAGTACTAGTCTTCTCTTGTGGATTGCAACCTACCTTTGCTACACCTCTGAAGAGTTTTGAGAGTTTCACTAGTCTCAGAGCCGGCCATGGGCCAGGCTAGTCTGGTGCTTGCCTGATCAACCAGGCTGTTGCCTGCTAGAGGCCCACTGCCCCAATTATTCATCACAGCATGGCTGATCTGGCACCTGGTGAAGATACTTGTCAGTTTCCTCTTGAAGGCTTCTACACTTGTTCCAGCTGTGTTTCTGATATCTTCTGGTAAGATGTTGAATAGTCTAGGACCCATATGTTAATAGTGTTCCCTTAGTCACTGCAGTCTGCGCCTCTGAAACCTCCTTGCTCATCCACAATCCTACATTCTGTCTTACCTCTAATTCTTTCAATTATAACCCTACCATACACTTTTCCTGGTATACTCAGTAAACTTATTCCTCTATAATTTTTACAGTCTCTTTTGTCCCCTTTCCCTTCATATAAAGGGACTCATACATGCTCTCTGCCAATCCCTAGGTACCTTCCCCTCTTTCATACATTATTAAACAAAAGTACCAACCACTCCAACACTATATCCCCCCTGCTTTTAACATTTCTGTCATGATCCCATCAGTTCCAGCTGCTTTACCCCCTTTCATTTTACGTAATGCTCACGTACCTCCCCACACTTACATTCTGCTCTTTTTCACTCCTAAAAGATGGTATACCTCCCTGACCAGTGCATGAAAATTTACTGCCTCTGTTTCTTCCTTAACATTTAAAAGTTCCTCAAAATATTCTCGCCATCTACCTAATACCTCCATCTCCCATCTACTAACTCCCCTACTCTGTTTTTAACTGACAAATCCATACTTTCCTAGGCTTTCTTAACTTGTTTAACTCACTCCAAATTTTTTTCTTATTTTCATTAAAATTTCTTGACAGTGCCTCTCCCACTCTATCATCTGCTCTCCTTTTGCACTCTCTCACCACTCTCTTTACCTTTCTTTTACTCTCCATATACTACTGCTCTTCTTTATAACACTTCTGCTTTGTAAAAACCTCTCATAAGCTACCTTTTTCTCTTTTATCACACCCTTTACTTCATCATTCCACCAATCACTCCCTTTCCTCCTGCCCCCACCCTCCTATAACCACAAACTTCTGCCCACATTCTAATACTGCATTTTTAAAACTATTCCAACCCTCTTCAACCCCCCACTACTCATCTTTGCACTAGCCACCTTTCTGCCAATAGTCGCTTATATCTCACCCGAACTTCCTCCTAGTAGTAGGTTGGTAGACAGCAACCACCCAGGGAAGTACTACCGTCCTGCCAAGCGAGTTGTTAAAACGAAAGCCTGTAATTGTTTTACGTGATGATAGGATTGCTGGTGTCTTTTGTCGGTTTCATAAACATGCAAGATTTCAGGTACGTCTTGCTACTTCTACTTACACTTAGGTCACACTACACATACATGTACAAGCATACAGTGGAACCTCAAAAATCGAACTTAATCCGTTCCAGGAGCTAGTTCTAAATTCGAAAAAGTCTGGAAATTTGAAGCAATATTTCCCATAAGAAATAATGGAAATACAATTAATCCGTCCAGAAACCCAAGAATATTCACACAAAAAATACATTTTATAGAGATTAATTAGTTTTACATACAACAAATACTATAGTTTTTTAATTATGTATAGTAATACATATAA